TGTGTGTGTGTGTGTGTGTGTGTGTGTGTGTGTGTGTGTGTGTGTGTATGCTGGTTTAAGCTCTCTAATACTATGAGGAATGTGAGGAATATGACATTTGTTGTCCGTTAGACCATACTTAATATCTGTACTCACTTTTTAATGCCAACTCTGGAGCCTCTGTCCCCCACCTTGGGGTCACCACTCGTACTGTGATAGTGATGATTTTTAATGTTTTGACTAGGAATTGGGCTACAGTTACGTGGAACTAAATGCAAGTGATACTCGGAGTAAGAACAGTTTGAAAGCAATTGTTGCTGAATCACTGAACAACACCAGCATCAAAGGCTTTTATACAAGTATGTGCCCTTTCTGAACATGGCTATAGATGTGGTTTAAGGGAAAAAGTCACTTCAGTGTTCTGTAATGAGCACTAGTGTGTTAAGCGTCAAGATAGGAAAGGCCTTTGACATCACATCTGAAGCATTAGTTACCCTCTTTGGTCTTAGAGGTTTCTGAGAATGTGATAAAAATGTGAGCACACACATAGTTTCCATTTTGTGTGTGATTTTAGACAATCACAGGTGAGTTCTGTAAAGGAGTATGGAAGATAAAATGAAATACAGTGTTCCACATGAGGTTATAAGGCTTATGGTTGAGGAGGTAATTGTGGGGGGGGGGCATTATGTAATCTACCAATATTTTTGTTCAGAAAGCTTTGAAGAATGAGAGGGCCCATTTGGAGTTAGATGTCATCTCTGTGGAAGAGCCCATTGTAGTTTAGGTTGTGACTAGTGGTGCCAAAGGGCTGGAGTTCATGGGGGAAATGAAGATGTATCAGTTAAAGATCCACATGTCTGTGTGCTTGTGCACGTGTGTGATGGAGCACATTACCACACCCAAGATTTTTGATGTGTAGTCTGGGGTTTGAACTCAGGTTCTGTGTTTGCAGGGCAGACACTGTACTGACTGAGCTATATCTCCATGTTACTTCCTGTACGTGGTTGGTGGGAGTATTTAATACAGCTCTTGAGCAGTCTGGTATTTTTTTCTCATGTCTAAATCACAAACAATTTCTAATCTAGAAATTCCAAGTGCTTGGAATTTAGCTGTCATTATACTTTGATGTGTAGAATGGTATAGACACAAACACAGAGACATACTCACATGTAGATACATACTTACATATAGTGATATTTAAATATTAGTATGACATAAAAGCTTGGAAGCATCTTAATACTTCAATAAATTAAATTATTGTACATTTTTAAAGATTATTAAGTTACATTAAAAAGAAGTATTATTGGGGCTGGATATTTCCTCTTCTGGTGTACAGATATATGTGTAGACAAAACACCTATATACATAAATAAATCTTTATTTTATTTTATTATTATTATTACTTTGAGACAGGGTTTCTCTGTGTAACCCTTTGTGACCAGGCTGGCTTTGAACTCACAGAGATACACCTGCCTCTGCCTCCCTGAGTGCTGCATAAATAAATCTTAAAAGTGTTATGGATGGATGGATGTATGGATGGATGGATGGAAGGAAATGGATCAATGACAAAAATTTATTAAGAGGAAAAACAACAGGGTACATACAGAGTCCTATGCATGTAGGTTTTAAATGTGTCCTGACTACCTCTAAAAGGCCTTTAAGAGAAATGCTGGGAAGAGAAGTTGGGAATGCAGAAGGGGCAGGAGAATTTGTTTTCGTGGGTTAACTCTTGGAGCTTTTGAAATTTAAATGTGTTGTAGAATTTTCTGTGAACTAGCAGTTTGAACAGTGCTTTTTACTGTATTTTTGTCCCATCTTACCCATGGTCAGGTGGAGCAGCTCCTTCAGTAAGTTCAAGGCATGCTCTCATCATGGATGAGGTCGATGGCATGGCAGGCAACGAGGACAGGGGTGGTATTCAGGTAACACAGCACCGTCTCTTTTTGTTTCACTGTTGCTTTTTAGATTAAGAAAATAAGGATTACGTGCATGGATATTTGTAGCAGTTCAGAGGTTGTTTTTTTAGCATACTAAAATATATTGAATAGTGTCTGTTATTTGTTAAAAATAATTATTTTTATTTTCTAAATTTGTCTTTTAGGAACTTATAGGCCTGATAAAGCATACTAAAATTCCCATCATTTGTATGTGCAATGACAGAAATCACCCCAAAATTCGCTCATTGGTTCATTATTGTTTTGATCTTCGTTTCCAAAGACCTCGGGTTGAACAGATTAAGGTATGATGATTGTAATTAAAGAGAATTTTAAGAACATTTGGTGTGTGTATGTCCATGAGCATATATACATCTGCTTATGCATATGTAATAGGGTATACATGTGGAGATCAGAGAGCATCTTTTGGGTGTCAATTTTCTTCCACCATGTGGGTTCTAGGGACCAATTTCAGGCATCAGGCATGATGGGAAATGCCTTTACCCACTGAGCCATCTTGCTTTCTTAGCATTCCTATTTCTTTCATTTTTCCTTTTAAAAGGTTTGTTTGTTTATTATATAGTATTCTGCAGTATGTGTGTCTGCAGGCCAGAAGAGGACACCAGATCTCATTAAAGATGGTTGTGAGCCGCCATGTGGTTGCTGGGAATTGATCTCAGTACCTTAGGAAGAGCAGCCAGTGCTCTTAACCTCTGAGCCATCTCTCCAGCCCCATAGGGTTTCTATTTCTGTGATGAAACACCATGACCAAAAGCAACTTGGAGAGGAAAGGTTTAACTGGCTTATATTTTTACATCATTGTTCACCATCGAAGGAAATCAGGGGCTCAAGCAGGGCAGGAACCTGGGTCAGGAGCTGATGCAGAGGCCATGGAAGGTGCTGCTTACTGGCTTGCTCAGCCTGCCTTCTTACAGTGCCCAGGACCACCAGCTCAGGGATGGCCCCACCCACAATGGCCTGGTCTTGTTTCAGTTGAGCAATAATTGAGAAAATGCCCTACAAGCTTCCCTGGAGCCTGATCTTACAGAAGCATTTTCTCAGTCAACTTTTTCTCTGGACTAGCTTGTGTCAGGTTGGCATAAAACTAGCTTGCACACTGGTCCATAATGTTTTTTAAATATTTATTTGTTTTATGTATTAACTTCTATACATGTATTATGTATTAAGATCCTGTACATGTGTGGGCATGTACAGGATCTCTGGAAGAGCAGACAGGGCTGTTAACCACTGAGCCATATCTCCAGCTCTGCATCATTGTATTTATATAAAGGTTGATTTTAACTTAGGCAGTCTCAGTGTTGTAGCCAGTGATGTTTATCCAAGGTATGATGATTGCTATTTGAAAACCTAAGGGTCAACTTTTTTGTTTTGCTTTGTTTTTTCCAAGACAGGGTTTCTCTATGTAGCCCTGGCTGTTCTGGAACTCTCTCTGTACACCAGGCCAGTCCTGAACTCGCAGAGATCTGCCTGCTTCTGCCTCCAGAGCGCTGGTAATAAAGGTGTGCACCACCACTGCCTGGCTCAAGGGTCAATTTTTAAATTTTTTAAATTTAAAATTTTCAATTTTTGTGAATATTTTTATAGAATTGTAAATGCTATGAGTAAAAAACAAAATTTCAGTAACAATTCTTTTGCTTGTCAATTTCAGAGTGCAATGCTGTCTATTGCATTTAAAGAGGGTTTAAAGATCCCCCCTCCAGCTATGAATGAAATAATTTTGGGAGCTAATCAAGATATCAGACAGGTGAGTTAGATACATATTATGGGGCAGTTGTTACTTTTCTAAATTTAATTTTATTATTTTATGTGTATGGGTATTTTGCCTGTGTTTATGTCTGTGCACCACTGTGTGTCTAGTATTGGCAGAGGCTAAAAGAGGGCATCAGATGCCCTGGAACTGGTGTTATAGCTGGTTGTGATCTGCCATGGGGATGTGGGCAGAGCAGCCAGTGCTCTTAACTGCTGAGCCATCTCTCCAGCTCTTGACAGTTGTTAGTACTTTTGCCTCCCACTCTTCAGACTTGCACGGGGTAGGAGAATAGCAGCCCTTTCTCATCCTGGCTTTGACTTATTTATGCTTCTTGTAGGTTTTACACAATCTGAGTATGTGCTGTGCACAAAGTAAGGCACTAACCTATGACCAAGCCAAGGCCGATTCTCAGAGGGCCAAGAAGGATATCAGACTGGTAAAATAAGTTTCCATTTTTTCATTTTTTAAGTTATGTTGTGAAGTTGGTGTTGGTGTACTTTTAAAAAACCCTTTCATTTACATTTCTTATATCTCTTTCTCCCTACTCCACCCTAGTCCCTTCCAGTTCCCCAACAACAGGTAGGAGAGAGAAAGGTTAGTGGGAAAGGGGGCACAGTTCTCTTAGCTGCTTCCTGCTGGTTAGGGTCTTAGGGTTCCTTGGAGCCAGTCCAATCCTTGTTTCAGGAGATCTCCAACTTCTTGTCTCACTGCATCAACAGCAACAGGAGCTGCAGGGGAAGCAGCTGCAGCTTTGTTCTTTCTCGGAGCTACTCCACACTCTGGGCTCTGGCATTTGTTCTCTCTCCAGAGTCCTCAGGTTTAAACTATCTGTAGCTGGCAAAGAGCTCCTCTCAGAGTCCACACAAGGCAAATAGTTTGATGCTGTGGACCATGTGAATCAGGCCCATATCCCCCACCTGGGATTAAAACAAAAATATATTTATATCCACAACGACTTGGTGTTTTCTTGTCCTGCTTATACTAGCTTTGTAGACATAATATACTTACTTGTTGTACCTATCGAGTCCAGGGACTTGTCAGAGCTCTAGACAGTGGTTTTACAGATGCTGATAATACGATGTTTTGATAAAGCCCATGCTTTATCACTCAGAGTGGCTTTTCCAGTGTACCTTCTGCATGCATTTATGGCCTACGTGGATTTGTATTATTGGGAATTGTGTGTTTCAAGTGGTTTAGTGTAATCTCCAAAGCTAGAGGTGTCTATCACTTGCCTGGACTCTGTTTTACTTTCAGAAGTGATAGGTAGAGTGATGATTTGTTAGGTTTTTTGTTTGTTTGTTTTGTTTTGTTTTTAAGAAAGAAATTATGTAACTTTAACAATTAAAAACTTTAGTTTTTGAAATGACACAACACTTTGGGGGTTCCAGATGAACTAAAAGTTTGTTTACACAAAACCCTGCCCAGAGTTTATAGCACCTGTATCACAGCTGCCAGCATCTGGAAGTAGTAAGACATCCTCCGGGATTTGAAAGGTGAGTACACTGGTAAGCCTCAGGCCTTGGACTCAACAATTTTAATCAAATATATCAGCCAGAAATTAAAAACTTTAGTTTTTGAAGTTTGTGGCAAAATTGAGTGGAAGGCATAGATTTTCCACATATGTTACCCAGTGTTGTACTTTTTAAAGCTATTTTATTTGGATTTCTTATGCCTCTACCTCCCTTCTCCACTCCAGTCCCTTCTAACACCCCAACACCAGGTAGGAGACAAAGAAGGTTAGTGGGAGAGGGGTTGTAGTTCTCTTAGCTGCTTCCTGCTGGTTAGAGACAGTTCCTTGGGGGCAAGTTCAATCTTCCTTTTAGGGTGTCTTCAGCTTTTCAAACAGCCTCAGCAGTAACTGGGAGCAGCAGGGGAGCAGCAACAGCCTTCTTCTTGGTATTGTGGCCCTTCTCTCTTTGGGCTTTGGCAGTTATGCCATCTCCAGGGTCTCAGAATAAAACCATCTCCCCCTGGCAAAGACCATGCCCCCTGCACAGGGCAGTTATCAACTGTGGACAAACTAAAATCCCACACTTGGGATTAAAACAAAAACATATTTGCATAACTGAGATTTTAGAGAACCCAAACTTGTGTTACACCCCAGTGCACACTGCCGGTCTCATTCAACACCCTGCACCAGCGTTTTGGTTAGTGAATCCACACTGGACACAGCTTTTCTTCCCGCTCATAGTTTACCAAGGTTCATGCTTGCTGTTGTGTGACTATCAAGTGGACAGTGCTGTGTGTCCACCACTGCCGATTCCTGTAGGGTAGTCTCCCACCCTCCTTTCTCTTTAGCCCTTCATACCCACCACTTTTCCATCTCCATAGTTTTCCTTTCCCTGGGTGTCATGTAGTAGGAATCAGATAGCTTGTAGCCTTTGGAGATTGGCTTTTTTCACACAGCAGAGTGCATTTGTGTATATTAAAGACTCCATCATGTCTTTTAATGGACTTTCCTTTTTGTTTGTTCTTTTGAGATTGCATTGCTGGTAGCTCAGTTGGGCTGGCTCATTGTGTAGCTGAGGCTGGCCTTGAACTGCATCTCCTAACTGCTAGGATTACTAGTGTGTTCCAGCATTCCTGGTTGATACTTTTCATTAAAATTGTGGAGTCCAAGGCCTGAGGTTTATCAGTGTATTTACGACTCATTTAATGAAGGATGTCACGGTACTTCCAGTTGTGATAAAGGGCTATAAACTCGGTGCAGGATATTGTGTAAAGGTACTTTTAGTTCACCTATGACCCCTAAAGCTTTGTGTTATTCTCAGCAGGGAGTGAGGGTTCCTTTTGCTTCACCTCTTCACCAGTATTAGGTTTTGGTCATTCAGTCATTTTGTGCCCTTTCTTGGCAGGGCCCATTTGATGTTGCCCGCAAAGTGTTTGCAGCTGGAGAGGAGACTGCACACATGTCACTGATGGACAAATCGGATCTTTTTTTCCATGACTATTCCATAGCACCCCTCTTTGTCCAGGAAAACTACCTTCATGTGAAGCCTGTGGCTGCAGGGTGAGCATTAAGAGCAGTGAGAGGCAGGGTTAGAACCCTGTCACACCAGAGGCCAAGTTCTTGTGCAGGGGCAGCGAGGAGTAGATGGTGGTATAACCCAGACTGCCTCTTCTCTGCAGGGGTGACATGAAAAAGCATTTGATGCTTTTAAGCCGGGCAGCAGATAGCATATGTGATGGCGACTTAGTGGACAGTCAGATACGGAGCAAGCAAAACTGGGGTCTTCTGCCCACACAGGTAAGCGGGGCTGCTTTAGCTGAAGAAGGGAGATCCTGTGGTTCCGTAGTTACGGCTTTTGGTTTTTCATACACACACACGTATATATGTGGTCTCTCTGCGTATCCCTTGCTGTCATGGAAATCATTCTGTGGACGGGGCTGGCCTTGAACTCTGCCTCCCAAGGGCCGGGATTAAAGGTGAAAAGTATCCTTATTTAAACTCTGTGGTATATTTATGTCGAGTGCACAGACTACAGAGCCGCCTTATGTATGGCAGCACTCTCCCACTGGCCTGTGCCCACAGCTTTGAACTCCGTATCTGTTTAGCAGCATGGTTGGTTTGAGTAACAGAGATTTTCAGAAAGTGTGCCTCCTTGGTGGTTTGGTTTTTTTTTTTTTTTTTTTGCTTTTTGTTTGTTTGTTTGTTTTTGAGACAGTCTTGCAGTGGTAGTACATTCCTTAAATACTAACACTTGGGAGGCAGAGACAGGCAGATCTCTGAGTTTGAGGCCAGTCTGGTTTACAAAGCAGATTCCAGGATAGCCAGGCCTTCACAGAGAAATCCTGTCTCGCCCCCACCTCCACTCCAAAGTTTCCTGAAGCATTAGTGTTGATAGGAAAACATTGCAGAAAGCTCTCACGTCCCATCCTGCGTGAGGATGGCTAATTATAGGAAGTCCTCCGGATGAAGTATTTCTGTATTTAAAACAATTTATAGAGATTCTCTGATGTATTGTGAGAAAATATTAGAATAAAGTAGGATACAACATTTATGGAAAGTATAATAAAAACCTTAAAGAGAAAATACTGGCCAAAAAAAGACATCTAAAGATATACCCCCCCCTTTTTTTTTGCCCCTTCCTTGGATAGTAGTTTATTCTGTCTAGTCCTCCTGTGCAAACACTTGTTACGTTAAAAAGAACCACATTCCTCAAATTATTCTGTGCTGTGATATTGGTACCTGGGAAATGACAGGTACCCTGAGGTTGGTTGGTCAAGGCCTCAAGATAACCTCTGAGACAGGTTTAGAGCAGTGTTAATTGCGGTCTTTTTGTATGCTCATTTCCTCTCCCTCTTCCTCTCCTCCACCTACGTCACCTCTGTACACTGGCATATGTGTGTGCATTCACATGTGTGCAGAGGCCAGAGGTCAGCCTTGGGCGCTAGTCATCAGGAGCTGTCTACCTGGGTTTTTATTTGCTTGGTTGCTGTTTCGATCGGGGTCTTACTGTGTAGCCTTGACTGGCCTGGAACTCTATCTAGACCAGCCTCTCTTCAGAGGTCTGTCGGCCTCTGCCTCCCAAGGGCTGGGGTTAAAGGTGTGCACTGCCATGCCTAGCTTTTTGTTTAAGTGTGTGTGTGTCTGTCTATGTAAATGTATGCTGTCTGGGTGTGGGTAGGTGCATGGAAGCCAGAAGAGGGCATGGACTCCCTGGAGCTGGAGTTAGAGGTGGTTGTGGCCCACACAACCAGTTGTGCTGGGAACTGAACTTGTGTCCTCTGGAAGAATAGTAAGCACTCTTAACTCCCTGTAGCCCCCCATCTATATGTCTATGTCTTCTCTATATATGTATTTATATCTGTCTTTTTACTTATTAAAGTATAAATGCAGGTACACATGCAGGCAGATGCATTGAATCTTCTTGAAAGTGGTGTTAGAGGCAGCTATGAGCTGCCCAGTGTGAATGCTCATGTTCTTAATGGCTGAGCTAGCTCTTCAGCCCCAAGGTAATAGAGACAGTCTCTTGATGGCCTGGAACTTGATTAGGCTAGGGTGGCTGGTATTGAGTCCCAAGGATCTTCTTGTCTCTTCCTCTGTGTTGAGGTTACAAGCGTGCATTATAATGCCTGGTTTTTCACATGGCTGTTGGGATCTAACTCAGGTCCTCATGCTTGAGTGACAAGGGCTTTGCTTGTCATCTGTCTTCCCGTTTGCTGTTCTGTTGTGTTCTATGAGAGAAGTTCCCTGTACCTGTAATCGGGACAGGGAGTGCACTGTAGTCAGGGTTAGGTCATCACGTCATCCATAGACTGCTGCTCCATTTTCAACTGCCGTAGTGCAGAAAAGAACAAGTTTATTGAGCCCACAGTTTCGGGAGATGAGCAGCCTGGGTCTGGTGGCTTGCTTGCAGAGTGCTGTGGTGGCACAAGGCATCACATGCCAGGAGGTGGACGTGTGCATTTGTGTGTATGTGTGCTTTTGCTCTCTCTTCCTCACGAGGCGTCTGACACTCACGTAGGAGAG